TGGTTACCAAAAAACTAACCTGTAACCTGATATCTAACATGCAAAATGGTTACCAAAAAACACTAAAGAGAACTAATACCTAAGTAAGATTTGCCAAGGGCAACCCATGAATTCTTGTGCTGCCCTGGTGTGCCATTTAGAAATATTCCTAACAATTTTAAATACACATACTTATAATCCCTGATTTACTTGTCCAAAGTTTGTCTAAGGATATTTACTATAACATTATTGTGAAGGTTTAAAAAAAAAAAAAACTAGAAGCAAATGAAATGTCTAGGAAACAAATGAAAAATTATGATGCATCTATATAGTGAAATACTATTCAACTATTAAAAAGCATCAATACACATGTGTTAAAGTGGAAAGATGTACAGATTACATCATAAGTTAAGTAGTGAAAAGGGTGGCGCGTGTGGCTCAGTGGGTAGGGTGCTGGCCCCATATGTCGAGGGTGGCAGGTTCAAACCTGGACCCGGCCAAACTGCAACAAAAAAATAGCCAGGTGTTGTGGTGGATGCCTGTAGTCCCAGCTACTCGGGAGGCTGAGGGAAGAGAAATGGAGTTGGGGTTGCTGTGAGCTGTGACACCACAGCACTCTACCAAGGGCGATAAAGTGAAACTCTGTCTCTATTAAAATAAATAAATAAATAAATAAATAAAATAAAATAAAGAAATGTGAAAAAAATGTATGTAATACTGTGAAAAAGAAAAAAAACATACAGATATGTTTAAAAAAACTTTCAGAAAAAACAAATGTGGTATATGCAGACATGTGTAGAAAAGCCAGGAAACGAGTAAAAAGGAGCAATGTCTTTATGTTTCAATGACTTTAGCTTAAATAATCTTTCTTACAATAAACAAAATACTATTTGCATAATACAAAAAATTAAGTTCTTAATAACTGGAATGAAAGAATACCTTTTTAGTTATTCCATAAATATAACTAAACACTTCCTACATAACAGACACTACGGTGTGACTTAAAGCTGGGGTAATAAGGAAAAAAAAGAATGTAAAACCAACTTGAGGACAGTTCTCATAACATACGGGTATCAGAAAATATAAAGCTAGGGTGGCACCTGTGGCTCAGTGAGTAGGGCGCCGGCCCCATATACCGGTTCAAACCCAGCCCTGGCCAAACTGCAACAAAAAAAATAGCCAGGCATTGTGGCAGGCACCTGTAGTCCCAGCTACTTGGGAGGCTGAGGCAAGGGAATCGCCTAAGCTCAAGAGCTGGAGGTTGCTGTGAGCTGTGATGCCACTGCACTCTACCGAGGGTAACAAAGTAAGACTCTTGTCTGGGGTGGGGGGAGAAATATATATATATATATATGTGTGTATATGTATATATATATATACACACACACACACACACACATATATATATAAAGCTAAAAACAATGGTTTTCTAAGTTTTCAGAGCCAAAGCAAGTTTCGCTAAAATTGGACAAGATGCAGTAAATAATCTAGAACTGACCAAAAATGTATCAAAACATGGAAAGTAGTACACAAAATAGAGTAAGTACATTTAATATGAGAATCCAAGACTGTTTTTATATAGGAATGCACGTATTTAAAAAAAACAGGATGGGCAGCGCCTGTGGCTCAGTGAGCTGGGCACCAGCCCCATATACCAACGGTGGCGGGTTTGAGCCTGGCCCCAGCCAAAATGCAACAAAATAGTAGCCGGGCGTTGTGGCAGGTGCCAGTAGTCCCAGCTACTTGGGAGGCTGAGGCAAGAGAATTGCCTAAGCTCAAGAGCTGCAGGTTGCTGTGAGCTGTGATGTCACAGAACTCTACCAAGGGCGACAAAGTAAGACTCTGTCTCTATAAAAAAACAAAACAAAACAAAAAACCCCCAGGATTTTAAAAGCTAATCAATTGCATGAATTTAAAAAATACATGCTATGAATAGGACCATTTTCAGACATAGCATTATGAGAACTTTAGTGAATATCTTATCCTAAAAAAATCACAAATGAATAAATGCAGGGGGTTGACGGTAAACCAGCTGGGAAGAAGAGGAGAGAAGGAAGCCGGGGGGAGGCCCCAACGTGCAGCATCTATTGATTTCCGTGGTATAACTACTTCCACCATCGGGGATTTCAAGCTACCAATGGCTTACAACCAGCTCAAAAGTCTCTAATATTTAATAATTGACTCTCAGAAGTCAGTACAAGCTAGCTGCAGTACACCACTGGATACACGGCACATTTAAATACTGATGTAAGGGGCTTTTATATACATTATTATGCACAAATTGTGAGTGTATAGATCAATACACTTCTAAAAGTGAACTAATTTCGCTTTTCAAAAGAAAGCTGTCTGCAATTTTCCATCCTACTAATACATATATAATAATTCCTCCCAGCTTAGAGAAAAAACAGTTTGAAGGAAAAATGTTTATTTCCCTAATTATGAAAAGTTACACCAGGTAACTTATTATAGTACTAAAATCACTTATACTTTAAACATAAGTACCCAGAAATGTTTAAAGGTATGATTTAATAGGTACTAAGTTTTACTGCCTTTTCTCTGTTTCCTAAAGTATTAATGTTTAAAACTTTTTGTTTTGCCTGGTGCAGTGGCTCACACCTATAATCCCAGCACTTGGGAGGCTGAGGCAGGTGGATTGCCTGAGCTCACAAGTTCAAGACCAGCCTGAGCAAGAGCAAGAGCAAGAGCCTGCCGCTGACCCTGTCTCTAAAAAACAGCCGGGCGTTGTGGCGGGTCCCTCTAGTCTCAGCTACTTGGGAAGCTGAGGCAAGAGGATCACTTAAACCCAAGAGTTTGAGGTTGCTGTGAGCTATGACACCGCAGCACTCTACCAAGGGTGACCAAGTGAGACTCTGCCTCAAAACAAACAAACAACTTTTTGTTAAGCAACACTCACTGCTCCTTCTGCTGGAAGAAAGGAAAAGCAAGCCCCTGAGCTCTCTCTTTTTCATTACAGAAAATGAGAACTAAAATATTGGCATAATCCCTGAGACTCACCCTGGTCTGTATGACACAGCACAGAAAATCAACAGCAAAGTGGACCGGAACAAAAACATATTCACAAAAAAGGAAATACACTCTCATGATACAACTGCAGTCATGACCTGAATTTACAACAGAAGTCAACGATCTCATATTATCACAGGTCACTCTCCAGGAAAGGCTAGGGACCAGTACCCTACTCCCTGCTTCCCTCTGCAGATGGTGGATGAGTTTGCACTCTGGATACCAATCACTCGCCCCCAGCTTCACCTATCTGCCAACAGCGACTCTACCATCCAATCTTCCCTCTCTATCTGATCGTTCCTATCAGCACACAACTGGCCCCCTATCATCTTTTTTAAAATCATGCTTAAATCAACTTTACTAAGGTATAATTTGCACACAATAAAATATATCCACCTTCAGTGTACAGTACAGAGTGCTGTTGAGGTATACATAACATTTCTATAGTCCAGAAAGTTCCCTCATGTCCCTCTACAATCAATTCCACTCCTTTAAATCCTGCCCCTGATGATATTTTATCTGTTTTTTGTCATTACTAATGAGTTCGGCCTATAGGCATCTCACAGAATTGGAGTCATGGTCTGTTCTCTAGCCTAGGTTCTCTCCCCTCAGCACTTTTGAGATTCATTCCTATTACTGTATCAGAAGTACATTCCTTTTACTTTTGAGTAATAATCCAGAAAAAGAATAATTCTAACTTTAAGACAGAGAGAAGGAAGGAGGAATAGATAAAAATAGAGAGAAATTCTGAAGTGAGCAGGAGGGAAATAAAATCAGTACAAGCTAGCCTTTATACCCTTAGTCAAGATAAGACCTGAGCAGCCCATGGCAGGCTCACATGGACAGAACTCCTTGCAGCAGTTAACCAGGATGGTGTATGGTTAGGAATCCCCTATAATGAATAGAATAAACTTAAAAGAAGGAAATTTGGAGATATGTAGCAAAAGCTTTAAAAATGTGATATCCTTATACCCAGCAATACACTTCTCTAAGTTTACATCCAAGGTTAGGAGCTATGGAAATGTGCAAAGACATAACTAAGTACTATATTACAGTACTATTTATAATAAATAGAAATAAGAACCTAAATGTCCAACTATAGGGAGTTGGACAAATAAATGATAAATTCTTTACTTGGAATGTTACACTGACATTTTAAAAAGATATTCATAATACATGATTTATTCATTTAGTAAATACTATTTGCTACGTGTCTACTATGCACATAGTTTATAAACATGTAACAATCAAAAGCTCTGGCCTTATGGAGCTTACATTCAGAAAAAAATGGAAACTTTTTTTTTTTTT